ATAAACTAAATTCTCACATCATATAGTCGGTGTGACTAAGCATCTCAATTTATGCACGGTGGGGAAGGTCCTGTTAAAGATGGAAAAGTTCAAGGCAACTCACTCTACATCGGGTACCTCCGCTAGTTATACATAATAAAACTAAGTATAGTATGACCTTGAGTGATAAGTAACGTGTTTAGCATGTATACGTTTTCTTGCCTTGTCACAGGTTTTGTTTTTTTCTGTTCACCTTGACATAGCTGGAATATACGTAACATGTTAACATCTGTTTTTCTTGACTATTAGTAATTGTTAATTATCGATTGTGTTTTCTACATAACAATGCAAAGCGGAAGATTGATAATGTAAAATATCATATTATGAAAATTACCAAGTCTATCTGAACACGATTGAGACAATGTGAGAACCTGAAAATTATCACTCTTACGGTATTTTAAAGTATAGATCGATACAAGATTAACAAACTGCGCTCAAAAACATATTAATTGCGTACAATTCTTTTCTATTTTGAAGTTTTATTAGTAATCAGCTAGGTCTGAATAGCTGAATCAGTTTTTTCAGCTCTGATTCAGCTGTGATTAAAATCACGTCCCAAATTAGAGCGGGAAATACTGATCAGCTCATCAGATTCCGTCAACAGAATCAGAATTAGAATTAGAACTTTCTGAAAGTGTCAATTTCAGATTTTCCGGGTCTGAATCAGTCAAAGTGTGTTTTTTAATGTCTTTTTATTGCATAACTAAATCCAATAATAGTTCAAAATACTCTACAAATTGTTACAATTCATGAAAATAGAAAATAAAACTTTTGAAGTTTTTAACAGCACAAGCGCTTCTGAGTTGAATTACATTTTCTGGTCGTAAAAATACCATTTTGTATGCGGATTATATAATTTTCGAAAATAGTCCGAACAATAACGTTTACCATGAACGGCACTGATTTTAAGGAAAATCGAAATACCATCATGTTGAATAAAGTGAGGTTTCAAAACACAATATTTATTTGGGTGGATCGGTTGATATCCCAAAATCAACAAAACGGATTTCGATTCTGCCAGTTTGAAGAGTAACAATTTCATGTCCTACAGCTTTAGATGATGTTCTGATTAAAAGTTATGTTAATAGGCGTGTTAGATGATACTGTGGACTTAGTCTGACGATTGCCCTACTTGAAAATCGGAGTTCGATAATACTGGGACCGACAGCAATAGTGAGTAATAATGAATGGTAATTATTAGTTTAAGTACATACTAAACCTTCATAAGACAAATTTCATCCGTAATATCTACGTCAATTGTAAAAACCTGCGGAAAAAATGTTAGACTGTCCATGTCGAAACAGTCCACATTAGACATAAATAACGATGGAACCGAGAATATTTTGATTTTTTCAAACCCCTAAAGGATAATCGGTTTTGAGACGGCTGGGTTTGAATCAATGTACTATTCTATAAGATGATTGAGTTAAGATTGTGAAAGCAGTTGTAAGAGCGTTCTTACTTGTCAGGTGAATATTCGATTCCTCTATAGAATTCAAAATGAGATATGTACACGCTGAGTAACAAAAAAAAGTCACAGATTAGCTTACAAAAGCATCGACGAATTCAACCTATTAAATTAAACTAATTACTTTGACGTTCTATTCATCCTCCTTTTTCCTCCTATGTAGTAATGTGTACACTTTCTGTCGTTCTCACATCGCTCTCTATTAGGCATGCAACGATATCACTACAGTACTGAAGTACTGGTATTGATCTGTACCTGTATTATACTCGTAACTAGGTATGGGGCGAATCGAGCGGGCGCTCGTCGTTCGAACGAGACAAACGAATCGCGCTCATCGCCCGACGCGAGACTGACCAATCGCGCTCGGTGTCCGAGTGCTCGCATGTCATTCCTAATTTAAATAAAATTCTCTATACTTTTGCACAAAAAATGTTTAAACAATTGTTTACTTGCTGTTCACTTATTATATAAAGAAAAAATATATTTTCTTCTATTAAAAGAGTAAAATGAATGTCGAGCGGCGAGCGCTCGATTCGCTCCATACCCACTCGTAACACGATAATTTCTAGAAATAATTGTTACCGGTGCTTCAGTGGCATTCATAGACAATAAGAACGAGCAGTTTTATGCAGACTGCTTAGTTTTCTTACATGTGCTAAAGGAACGAAAGAGATAGAGAACAGCTGAACGAATAGGGGAAGTGAAATAAATTAAAAGAAGAAGAAAACGGATCTTTTTATTCTGTTCTGGTTTGTAATTTTCTTCATGATAATAAATTATGTCACTCCATAGAACAGGAAGTCTAACCGCACACGAGATGAAGACATTTTTTATGACTGTTGTCGAATTCATAATGGTCCAGTCCGCACTCTACACTTCTTGAAACATATGAATCAACTGAGTTCCCAATACCTAATCTCCAGTTTCTGAGATATAGGTCTTTGAAAACCCGGGTTTTCCAGAAAGCCTACCAATTGCAAAATGCATCGAAAATTTGCAGAGAGGTCTTCCTAAAACGTCCGAAAGTCCCATCGCAAATCTGTTTCAAGCATCTTCCCCCTTTAGGTTTGGTTCAGGTTTTCGAACGCTATCAAACGCTGAGTCTTAAAATATTCCAGCACCTTCCTGAGCCCGTGTATTGAGTTTTAAAAAAAGTTTATTTTTCAACATTTAAAATTTGAATTTCGGCGGCGGGACTATATTGTTTTTTTTCAGAATCTAGCCCGTACACTTTTCAAGCGGATGGTGGATCTGGAATATTTTCAAGATAAGAGATTTCCCTAAAAAATTATTTGATCGAGTAGCCCATGTCAAAAACCACGGTTTTCTAGAAGCCGTACTTAGCCTTATTTTAAAAGTTTTTCGAATCATCCAAATAGAGAGCGTTCTTCAGAGTTCTTAAGTACCAAGAGGATTTGTGTTTGATGTTTGTGTTACGGGAGTACGTTTCTCATGCAACATGCGTATTCTGCAGCGCTAAACATTCTAAATCCTGTACGGTACAGGCTGTACCGTATCTGAAGTGGTGGTCACGAGGGCTTAAATCTAAACTTATTCTTTATCTTTTGAAGTATACATGATCATTGTGTACTCTTTTCTGTAATCATCTGTTGAAATTTTCAGATAATAATGAAAACCGGAAAACATCAACCGTCGGGAGAAGATCTAGGTTCAACAGTAACCTCCATGAAACGAAAACGCGAGGAGAGAGAGAAAACATCAAACGAAGTCACAAGGAATCATTTAACTGTGAACGAGGTATGTTTCACCACGTTTGCCCGGCGGTGCAGCAATTTGAACTTTCTAATTTTTCCGGTTTAGGAGCCAAGGTCATCACAGTACTCGAGCGACGCGCATCAGTGTTATCTACTTATGTTAATACAACATTTATCATGGTTAATAACAAAGAAGAGAAAAAATCAAATTCCGCACACGAAATGTACCTGCCACGACATAGTCCCTGATGCAACGAAAGGAACAGCAACAAATAAACCTTATTCATGAACGATGTTTGGGTTTCTGCACACCAAAAGAATTTAATTTGTCGTCATGTCATTAATGCACGACTAGCTACATCGTCGTTAACGCAAGATTTTCACCATTCATTATTGAGATATTATAAACTAATGACAATATTAACTCGTGATATCGAGCAAATAAACAACGATCACACTCTATTGATTACCAGAAACGACCAATTAAATGATATATTAGTCAGATGCAAACATTACATAAATGAGTTACAATCATCAATTCCCGAAACGAACCAGCAGCTTAATGAAATTCATCTCAATCATCTGCGTCTACAAGAAGAGTTAACGAATGTGAAGAACAGTATTCTACCACCAGCAGTGCATGACGGTAGCCTAATATGGAAAATAACGGATGTTTACCATAAAATCGATGGTGCTCGGTCAGATATTCATCCCTACATCAATTCACCACCGTTTTTCTCTTCACCCGTCGGCTACAAAATGAAAGTCACACTCTATTTAAACGGTGATGGTGAAGCTCATTGTAAATACATGTCATTATATTTTATGATAATGCAAGGAGAATTTGACTCCATTCTCCATTGGCCATTCAATTTCGGAGTTACCTTCTGTCTCATCGATCAGTCAAATCAACAGCGACACATCACTGAAACATTCTACCCAGATTCAAAAAGCGTCGTTTGTCACAGACCTCGTTCAGATACAAATGAAGCCATTGGCATACAAAAGTTCTGCTCATTAGATTCACTTCGTCACTACATACAAGACGACGTCATGTTTATTAAAATTAACATCGATTTCGTCACAATTCCACCGCATCCCACAATCTGTCTACCAGTCTCCTCATCAACATGTACACAGTCACCTGTTATCGCCACGGATGAAAGGCGTCAATCAATGCCCGATAGTAACGACGAATTTCGCCTTTGCATTGCTGGTCGATCAAATGCACCACTCTATTCAGTTCATCCACCACCCTAGCCACACTAATGTAGATGTGAATTGATCTCTTTTTTTCGATATAATCATCTTTTTTAGCAACAAATTGTTCGTAATGGCTTTTCTTTCACCATTCAATTTCGTTTTAGTAGATATCAGTAAGTTTATTTTTTTACTTCTCATTACTCACTTCGTTCGACATGTTCTGAACAAACTTTTTGACGTAAAACGTTCAGCATTGAACTATCTAGCTAGAATTATTTGCACTATTTTTTGTCTCGATGTTGTCCCAAAAGTGAGGTTCTCAGCTACAGTTTTGAAAGCGAGAACAATACAAAAAATCAACGTACTATTTGCTTTTTGTTTTACTATCTGGTTTTCGCGTACAAACTGCCAACCTTTCCCAAAATAATTCATATCACAGTTATGGATATACGAAAAGATAATACTCATACTCGTGATTTCTACTAGAATCTATTTCTTTTTTCTCTATTTACTAACCAAATGTTGTAGCATGTATTCTCGTATGAAAACCAACTCATTGTGTACTGTTCGAGTTATTCTAGAAATCGTTTTGATCTTGAATCGTTGACTAGAACTGACATATCGTACGCACAACTCCTGCCAAAAATTTTTTTACTTTAATAGCAAAGGCTCTACGCTAAACAGATTTTTATTCAAAATCTTAGATCTAAGAGTCAAACGTACAAAAGTCAAAGATTTTTCTGCACTGCAAATACATGTGTGTAATATTCATGTCTTTTTTTTTTCATTTTTCTGTTTACATGTTAAACTTGACGCTAAAAGCGTTTTTCAAGTTACTGTTATTCGTTTTATGAAAAGATGAATTGTGTTTACTGTCGAACAGTATTTCCATTGTTTATTTTTCAAGCTGGTTCTAAGTTTTGAAATTAGTACTTATACTAATAAAAATATCAAAAAAACTCATTATTGAATTGTGTCTGTATGCTTCACCTGCAAATATAATAAGAATCATATTCAATAAAATCTCAATTTCGGTTTTTTCATTAGTACACTACTTCTCGGATTGATCTCTTATAAAGTACTACATGATAAAGCTTTAAGAATGAAGAGAACAATTTTTTTCTAGTTTTAAGTTTTTTTTCTAGGTGTCATTCTTAGCGGGAAAATTAACGATGAAATTATTTTAGGAAAACCGAGCGGTTAAGATAGAAAATCATTTTGCGACAAACAATACACGATATTTATTAAAATTTTACATAGTCTAAAACTAGGCATTTCGCTCTATCCATTCGTAAAAAAAACTTCTGTTTCGGCTTTTCCATGATCCAGCAAATTAGTTTTCTTTTTTTGCTGCGTGTTTTCCGAAAATGTGTGCTCAGTGTAATCGGTTTCCGATTTTTTCCGAAGCTTCAAATTCAACGAATTTTTTACCGAAGGTAGACCTACTAATGATACATACATATTGATGGCGCAAACTAGTGCAAACGCTCCTGGACCGAGTTATAGGTTTTTCAAATAAATTAGATTTTTTTAGATCATTAACGCTTAAATTAAAAAATAACGAAATATTTAGAATTAGCGCAAAAAACTGCGTCGAATGGTGTATAATTCGGCCGTGTTTGTGCGGAAACTTTTGAATTTAGTTGATTTCTTTGTTTCTTGCATGTGCGGATATGGATTTTTAACTGAAATTTTAAAAGTTTGAAATCATTAACAGATGAAATCGTCTAAACATTATTTCTGTAAGTTATCGATGACTCTCTATCTAATACAATTATTTCTGAGTTTTTTTAAGGTTTTCTAAGTGGTTTTCTAGAGATCCGGTCTCTAGAAAACCGATTTGAAAACTTTTTCAGAACATAAAGAGCATTCCATTAAATAACCTATAACACAAGATAACCTATAAAAAACGCGTTTTTAAGTTTTCTTCTAGCTTGCAGGCCAAAAGACCACGTGCCTGGTGAAAATTGCCCAATGTGGATAGATGCTAAGCATTATTTCCGATATGATACAGCGTAAAAAAATTTTCGGTTGGAAAGAGTAAAATGTGACAATCAAAATCCATAGAAAAAATTTTTGGGATTGAGTTTGAGCAAGAAAAACTTTAAAATTAAGCATTGCGCTAAAAAAGCTTATTTACATCATTATGCCTATGGCTATAATACATACAATATTAATAAGAGATTATTATACATCATTCCTTTCCAATTTTAATTCTTTATATATTTCTCTTACATCCCGGAAGACAAACGTCCTGATAACATTGGCATTCGGAAACGGTGGGAGGCTAAAATTATGGATGATCTTGAGAAGTTCGAGCTTCGAAACTGGAGAAGGAAAACAAGAGACAGAGAAATGTGGCGTGAGCCAATCAACAAACGTGTGAAGGTTACCTCTGTACAAAAAAACATCAAAGAAATAATTCATGAACTTAAAGATCGTGCAGAGAGGAGGAGAGGAGAAGAATCAGCTAAAGATCGTGGAGCAGGACAACGGAAGGTAACGGAAGTGTTAGTGAAAGATGCAAACAACACCTACACTTGTCCAAATTGTAACAGATCTTTCAAGCCGCAAGGTATGACAGGACATGTGAAGTCGTGTGCAAAAGATTGGTGTAAGAAAAACAACATTAAAATTGGAAAGAAATGATGTGAAAACAAATTATGTTTAGTAATACTGGTGAAATGAAGAATATCACCTAAACCAAGTAGACTTGGAGGATGATAGTCGGATGAAAAGCCTTTATTTATTTACATAATGTGAACGAACAGGACAGAAGCTGAATGAACACTTCACACTACAGTTCACAGTCATTTCTGTTCACAGCACCAGTTTTAATTAATTCAGATCCTCTATTACCATCACCAATAATGACAATACATGAACATAAAGATTTTAAAATTAATTAAACAATGGTGTTTAGGTAATAAAGAAAACTTTGGTTTAGACGATTTTCAATTAAGAGGTAGGGAAGATTTTATATTAAAATTACATGATAATTATAATACTTTAGAAGCAATAATTACATGTAAATATGGTTCAAATTTCTTATTAACAAAAACAGTTAATCAATTTCAATCGTTTCAAATTTTTATAAACATAAAAAAATTGAATTGTTCATTAATGAAAGAATTTGTAAAGAAAAATGATAAACAAAAAAGAATTAATGTCCAAACATCATCACTAGTACAATCACAACCATTAGTTCAAATAATAATAAATCCTATAGTTAGTTGCACCACCTTCATCCATAAGTAGTACATCAACAATAGAACCAACGAAAACCAATTATAAATGTTCTGCACCAGCATTAAGTATATTAACGCGATCATCAAAGCGAAGAAAACTATAATTATTATTTGTTTTATCATTAATTTAGCATTAGTTTTACCGTTTCTATTTTATTGTATTATTATGAAATCTTTAACAAAGTACTTATCTTCTCATTATTTATTATTTATTTATTCCTAGTCGGATATTGTCACATAACTATGTGATATTTCTATCTTTTTGTTATTATTCCTTTTATACTCGAGATCCTTGTATATAAATCTAGTTCTTATTTACGATCGCAAGTAATGTATATTTAACAAAGCGTGGATTCACGTCGACACGAGAAATATGAGTTGTGTCGTTGATCGACTCTTTATATACGAATTAGATGTTAACTGAGACGTTGTATGTGGAAACTGGTTGATGTTGAGCTTTGCAGGGACTCTTGGACTTAAGGAGTCCAGAAGTCCGGAAGCTGAAGCTAGAAGAAATGAAGAAATGAAGCTGATGAGAATTTTTGAACGGATAGACAAGGTTTGATTCCTCCCTGGCTTTTACATCCTAGTCCACTTTCTGCTGATACTACTTTAATATTCAGTGAAAGCTCCTAAAACCAATATTTAGCCGTTATTCCTCTTTTCTGAGTGGAATATCTATGGTTAGTCAGCCATTTTCCCATGTTTTGTAGGCACACAATTCATTTTCTAGATTCTATCCTTACAATCAGCTGAACAACGCTTTGGCTGAAAGTTTCAAATTATTTTTACATTCGAACACGGCCAGATGCCACCAGCATTTCTATTCATTAAAATATGAGGTTACATTTTTTCTTTCAAGGTTAATGGTTCACTACAAGTTTCACGGTACACTTTATAAATGGATTATCTTGACTGAGCAGATTATCAGATTTATCATAACAATTTTAAAACTATACGTACAGCTATCTACTATGTGAAAGTAAGCTTATAATTATTCCACTTTTATGACATTCTGACCATTTTCTTATAAGAATTGAGAGAGCACAGTATGCATCAATAGATTCTCCACTGCTTAATTTCGGACTTTCATAGCTAAATCCAGTATCGTAGGAATTTCGGCACTGCGAACTGCCGTATCTAAAGTGTATCCAAAATTTTCAGACAAGGATTGTAACGTAATCAGAAATTTTGGTTCTGCACTCGTGAGGGTGAGAATGGTTCTAGGGTTCGCACTAAAATAAATTTTCGGTACACTCGCCTTTCGATAAAATATTTTTCAACGAAAGTTCAGTAAATCAGGATTTTCATTGTCTTCTTTTAGGTACAATAAGAGTCTAGCAAACAAATGTTGAAACCTTATTGGCAAATGTCAAGCGACAGAGAAAGAATGAAAGCGTTGTTGATCAAATATGTCTCTTTCGAAGATCTAAGAAAAAAGTCTAAAAAAAGATCGAATTTTATCTAGTTTGATACAGATGTTTATCTATGTTGTCCGACTCGAGAATTCGATAACTTGTATGAAAAGAAGATTTTTTGCATAGAGAATAAAATTCCTTGTCTTTTTTTGGGTCAAAATCTGGGTAAGCAATAAAACTTACGGAAAAGAAAACCTTCATGGAAGTATAGTGCCCGAAATCATGTAACTTGTGAGGATTTCATATGAAATAGAAGAGGATTTTAAAAAAGTCCAGGTATTTAACAGACGGTGACAATCAAACTTTTATTGTTTCTTCAAAAGTTTGTAAATCTTGGCTACTTTCGAAGAAAAATATGAAAACATGGGTTAGATTTCATAATAAATCGAAA